TGAAAACCGCAAATTAAGTCTCCGGAAGTGTGCAGTTGACACGTGACTGAGGCTCTGTTAGGGTGTTTTTGCTGCCGCTATCTTTTGTGCCCGTTATTCGGAGGATAGCCCTCTGTTGGTAGATGGCTTCATATCTTTCATTTGTAATAGTTATATCTCTAGTTATATATGGCTTGATTTAAAAAAAAAAAAAGTGGCTTCCGAATTGGTCATCTAAACATTTTTCATTTACTCGGCAAACTGCCCAAGCTATCAATTAGACTCAGTAACCAATTTCACGTTTTTAGAATTACAGAAAGTCGCCTGAACGACAAAATTAGTTACAACAAAATCACCATTGGTTGATTTACAGCAATTTGCAAAGATGCACTTAGAAAATTAGAGACAGGCGTGCAGTTTAATTTTTGATCATCTCGAAAATTCTCGTAGATTTAATCTAGAATTTAAAGCTATTGATTGTGTCTGGCTGGAAGTCAAGCCGTTAAACCAGCAGTCACTGTTCATTGGTTGCCTGTATCGAAATCCTGGTTCAAATAACAACTGGTATGACAGTTTTAACTTCTATGATGGACATAGTTTTTAGTGTAGGGAAGGAAGTTGTTCTTTTTGGTGATTTAGTTTTTATTGTAGGGAAAGAAATTGTTCTTTTTGGTGATTTAGTTTTTATTGTAGGGAAGGAAATAGTTCTTTTTGGTGATTTCAACATTTACAGAAATAAAGCCAACCAGACATGGGAAGATATCATCCAATAATATAACCTCAAACAGTTATTTAACTCTCCCACGAGTCACAGAAACAGAAATATCCTCAACAATAATTGATCATATCTATGTCTCTCATCCAGCAAATATTATTGAATATTCTGTCCCCGTTACTGCAGTCATCAATCATTATCCTAAATGCTGTGTATGAGAAAAAACTGGTTTTAAAACACTTTAAAATAAACAGTGAAATTTAGAAATTTCAAAACTATTAATCCTGACTCGTTTTTACTAGATTTGAGAAAGGCACTACTTGACCTTCTGAACCAGACGATGATATAGCCTACTGGACGAAAACAGTATATAGTGTGTTTGATAAACATGTGCCAATTAAAGAACTTAAGAGTAAAACATCAGACGAAATCACCATGGATTACTATTGAGGTTCTGGATAGTATTAAAGAACTAGATACGGCACACAAGAATAAAAATTATAAGCAAACTCCTCTGGCTTGGATGGAATCAGTAATCGAATTATTCGATGTGCTGCGCCAGTTGTTAGTGACTCCTTAATGTTAATATATAACCAGTAAATATCAGTATTTAAAATTGCTAAAGTTTATCCTCTGCTTAAATTTGGTTCAGCTGACAACAGTTCTTTGGACAACTATAGACGCATTTCTCTACTATCTTCACTATCTAAACCATAAGAGAAACATATACATAAAATAACGCTTCAGCATTTAAATAATAACAATCTAATAGTTGATAGCCAGTCAGGGTTCAGACCTAAACTCACTTGTCATACTGTGTTGACAAATATGACAGACAACTGGCACCTTAACATCAACAATAACAACATTTACGGTGCAATATTTGTTGAGTATAGGAAATCCTTTGTCATGGTTGATCATTTTTTAATTAGTAAACTAAAAACCTTAAAAACTAACGATAATTAAATTACGACGTCATTTTGTCTGGTAGGCAGCAGGTAGTTTCTCTCAGTAACCGTTATTCAAAACCCACACAGTTAAACATTGGTGTTCCTCAGGGCTCAATATTATGTCCACTACTTTTTGCCACTTTTACTAATGACCTTCCATTACATCTCAGTATAACATATGATCTGTTTGCTGACGACTGTACAATATATACTAGTCATGACAGTTGTAATGAATTAGGACGTTTTTTAGAGAAAAAACTAGAGAAACTTATAAAATGGAGAGATGATAATCAACTGCAAATAAATATAAATAAACTCAATCCATAGTAATAACTACTGGGCAAAAGCAACAAACATTAGCTTTACACAAACCACCGCTTGAGCTCTTCATTGACAAGCTACGTATTTTTAATATATTTGAACACAAAAAATTTTGTGTTTTAATTGACAGCCAATTAACTTAAAGTTCCCATGTTCATGCCATGACTAAAAAAGTAGCACAACAAGTTTATTCAACTTGGTAAAATTCAGCACTTTCTGGAAGAAAATACACGTAAAAAAATTGTAGGTATCCTAATTCCAAATGTATATTGACTATTGTTTCACAATTTTGGATGGTTGCTCTATATCTAATGTCAAACAACTGAGTTCTCTAAAAAAATCGGGTCTTTCGCCTAGTCTCCGATAGAAACTACGTCGAGAAAAATCATTTATATCGACATCTAAGACTTCAGCCATTTAGTAAACATTTAATTTTTAACAAGGCTAAATCGCATGCAAAGAGTCAGCTGATAAAAGTTTAACACATTCAGAATGAAGCCATGCGGGTAATTCTGAGATGTACAGGAGATACTGTTGCAGATAGGCTCAAAGTTCTGCAGGCAAAGTTATATCTCAGAGTAGCTGCAGACAAGAAGCACCTCCTGCATAAAGCCCTAGGTAGAGCTAAGGATCACAGACTGAAAAGAGGATGGTCTTAGATGGAGCAAGCTGAAGACACAATTAGACATGTGTGCAGGCTTGATAATTTTGAGCGAGGAGAGGAGTGGGCCAAGGTTTGGACTTGTGTAGGCTTCTAATCATGTTAGGTTGTGAGTGCAGTGACTGGCCAGCTGGTGCTGCAGAATCAGAAGTTAAAAGAAATGATTCAGGACAGTTCTCACTCAAGTGATATGATTATCTAAACAGATGGCTCTGTGTTGGCGGGCAGACGAAGACCAATAGACGTCGCTTAGTGCAGCAAAGCCTTGCAAATGATATCACAATGTCTAGTTTAAGATTGGAGGTGCTGTCTTGAGAATCAGCTGTACACACATGCCGTGATTCTAACTGACTCACAGAGCATGTTGAAAAAGGTGAAAACAGGCATGCAGCAGAGTGGCAAGCATCACTACAGAGGTACTTTGGATATTTTCTCCAGGTTATGCCCATGTGTTGGGAAATGAGCAGTAGATAGACTGGCTGGCTCTGCACCCTTGGTGGTGAATTGATGAATGACAAGTTAGATATTGTGAGGGCCCTTGGGAGCGAGAAAACTGTGGGGAGGCGCAGATAGATCATTATAGTCTGAATAGAATGGTGCTGCCAGGAGTTACCAGGAAATCTGGCCGACACTCAAGACTGGGGGAAGGATGAGACGGATATAAAATCAGACAGTTACTGGTACCATTGGAATTGGAACTCTTCACTTGCTGCTGAAGATGAGGACTGAGCACTTATGAGAGTGCCCCGAGCCCTGAGATGTCGATTGGTTATTCAACATTCAAGACCAAATTCATTCTCAAAATCCAATCTCAAAATACTCCAAATTACATCTTCTGATTGATTCAATCCAATTCTGTGAATAGCTAGTGACTAAGTTTATTACATTTGCCTAAACCTAGAATTGATTTATTTAAAACAAGTTAAGCATATTCTGCTGCCCATTTATGGAATCATATTCCTGTGTATATGTGTGTCCATTTGATAATGTCCGTGTGTGCGCCTCTATGTGTGTCTGTTTGATAATTTCTGTGCGCGCGCATGCATGTGTATGTGTGTGTGTGTGTGTGTGTCTCTCTGAATGTGTGTGGTTGTGAGAGTGTGCCTGTGTGTGTGATTATGTGTGTCTTTGAGTGTGTGTGTTTGTGCCTGCTCGAGCATGTGTATGTGCCTGAGTGTGTGTGTGTGTATGTGCGTATGTGTGTGAGTGAATGGGTTTTCGTGTGTATGCGGGTGTGTGTGTAAGTGAGCATGCATTTTACCATCCATGCTTGTTTGCTCAATATTCATAATATGCATATTATTACATGAACATAACATGCTTTATTGATTTAAAAAAAAAAAAACTGCTATGTGAAAGATGATTGTTTGGAAAGGCCAAATGTAAGACAGGCCTGCATGCCCAATTTGTGACCCTTTGAAAAAAATGTTCGTTTGTTAATCTTTTGGGGTAGCATGTAGCTCTTGTTTGTTTTAAATAGCACATGGTGGGGAATGGATCACAGAGTTGCCCAGCCAAACAGCCTTGCATAGAGTAATAGTTAGCTTGGACAAAGGGTGCTGGGAATGGATAGCTGGTGAAACAGACAGCAATGCAAGAGCTGATCAATACAGATTCTTGCCCATGTGACATCATTATATAAACATATGGGTCTGTAGTGAGAGGTCAGAAGAGTGGCTGGGATTTTATTGCAAAGGTGAATTTACCCAGTTTGAAAAGAGAGAGGCTCATGTTAAACTATTGGCCTCACCGCATCCAGTATAAAAATGGAGGTGGAGGCAGTAACAGCAGCTTACTGATAGCACAGCACAAAATGTGGTAATTGCAATGGATTCACCAGGCATGCTTCTGAGAATTGAAACTTCAAAGAAGGGCTGTCCATCAAATAAGTAATAATAATGGAAGAGACTGCTGCAACCTTTGTAAAAGAGCTGTTGCTATTCATCATTATCATCATCAGGTGCCTTGCCGACTGGTGTGGGTGATCATGCCTCTCCACAATCTGCGATCTCCTGCAGGATTTATCAGTTTGTGTGCTGACACACCTCCATGCCATGCAACAAGACTAAAGAATCTTCTCTTGCTGTCTTCCTCTATCACTCTTCACACGGTTCTTTCCATTGGTCACAAAATATTTCATCTTTTTTTTTTCCAAAAGGCTAAAGTTATTTAGGAAATAATATTAAAAAATTCTCCAGATTACGTTTGGATATATTTAAATATAATGGAAGATGGCAAGTGAAGATGAGGAAGGAGTTGTTATAGGAATATTTCGCCCCTATGACCCAATTGTCTTGTGTAGAGAGACATTTCCACACATATCTCTTGTAACCCATTGTATGATGAATCAAACAGTATGCACATTTCATTTCAGGGTTTGTGTAAGCTTGGCAGTTTTATGGGCACAGATGCTAGCTCACAACCAATGGCCGATGGATCCACACTGAAACTAGCCAGAATCTGCAGAAAGTAATCTCTCCTGCTTCTTAAATTGAACCTCTAAGGTTTAGATCACAGTGCCTATGTCTAGTCACCTAGGCGTATTTTAGTATTATAGTTGTTGTTCTTTTTGTGTGCGTGAGAGAGAGAGATTTTTTTTTTTAATGTTTATTTTAAATATGATTTAAAGATTTATATCTAGACATGTGAGATTGGTCATCTTAGAAAGTATGTTTGTTGGCATTTGCTCTCTGCATGTGAACATCTGTGATTCAAGTAATTTAAATTCACTTCCTAGCTAAAATGTCAAGATTCACATACAAACACCAAGCTAGGCTAAATCATGGACAGTTTCACACATAGACACCCAGGGCAGGCTAAAACACGGTCATCTGACATGACACTCGTGGCAAGCTCAAACACGCTTATTTGACATTACACCTAAGGCAAGCTAAAACATGGTCATTTGACATGACACCTGAGGCAAGCTAAAACATGGTCATTTGACATGACACCTGAGGCAGGCTCAAACATGGTCATTTGACATGACACCTGAGGCAAGCTAAAACATGGTCATTTGACATGACACCTGAGGCAGGCTAAAACATGGTCATTTGACATGACACCTGAAGCAAGCTAAAACATAGTCATTTGACATGACACCTGAGGCAAGCTAAAACATGGTCATTTGACATGACACCTGAGGCAAGCTAAAACATGGTCATTGACACGACAGCCGAGGCAAGCTAAAACATGATTTTTTGACATGACACCGAAGGCAAGCTAAAACATGGTCATTTGACATGACACCCGACACCAAGGGCAAACTAAAACATTGTCAGTAAAATATATCGACACATATTTCAAATTAAAATAACTAATCATTTAAAGACTATAGAGTTTTAGTAGAGATGTCATAAAGCAAGTTTTAGGCCAAATTTCACCAGTTTTGAAATGCAAGCATGTGAATATGAACACTAAAAGAACACTGTTTAACACAGTATTCTTACCAATGCTATCTGGTAATCTGGTAATGCTATGCTATCAATGTCAAACATGGACACTCTGTTCAGAAAACAAGGAAAATGATCACAATGAAAATGAAATGATTACTTACTATGCTAGGTATAATGAGAAAGAATCGACCTAGGAAGAATGCTATCAGGAAGAGAGTTGGCACAGAACCAATACTGAACTTTTTAGACAACAAATCAAATGATTTGGCCATGTAACAAGATTGGCATCAGACAGGACACCACAGAAAGCAATGTTATGCAGATACAATGGTAACAGAGCCAGAGGTTGACCACACAGAAGATGGACAGCAGAAATATCTGAGACACTGAAGAGTACAATATACGACACGAACGGAAGGGCCCGTTCCAGAGATTGCTTCCTTCCGTGATGCAGTGAGGCATTCCAGGAGTAGAGGAAAGAAGAAGAAGAAGTCATAAAACATTTTCATGGACCATTCTTTTCAATAGAGAATATACCATGTAAGATATTTGTACAGCAATGTTTTTAGTAGAAAATATACGATGTAAGACATTTGTATACCAATGTTTTCAAGTAAAGAATATACCATGAAATATCTTCTTAGGTTTTTTTTCAAATTAGTGAAAAAATAGAACCTTTTCTGAATACAGTTTTAAGAATTGCAGAACATATTTATAGACAGCAGTTTCAGTAGTGATCATTTAATGAATCAAGTTCATAGACAGCAGTTTAAGTAGAGATCATATAATGAAACATGGTCATAGACAGCAGTTTAAGTAGAGATCATATAATGAATCAAGTTCATAGACAGCAGTTTAAGTAGAGATCATATAATGAATCACGTTCATAGACAGCAGTTTAAGTAGAGATCATATAATGAAACAAGTTCATAGACAGCAGTTTAAGTAGAGATCATATAATGAAACATGGTCATAGACAGCAGTTTAAGTAGAGATCATATAATGAATCAAGTTCATAGACAGCAGTTTAAGTAGAGATCATATAATGAAACATGGTCATAGACAGCAGTTTAAGTAGAGATCATATAATGAATCAAGTTCATAGACAGCAGTTTAAGTAGAGATCATATAATGAATCACGTTCATAGACAGCAGTTTAAGTAGAGATCACATAATAAATCAAGTTCATAGACAGCAGTTTAAGTAGAGATCATATAATGAAACATGGTCATAGACAGCAGTTTAAGTAGAGATCATATAATGAATCAAGTTCATAGACAGCAGTTTAACTCTTTGAGTCCCAGGGGGTTTAGCATCACAGGCCCAGGGGGTAATAAATAGAGTCATAAAATCGGCGCATCATGCGTTCATTGGGCTTATAGGTAGGAACCTATGAACGTATGATGCGTTCCTTGGGACATAAAGAGTTAAGTAGAGATCATATAATGAATCGTTCATAGACAGCAGTTTAAGTAGAGATCACATAATAAAACATGTTCATAGACAGCAGTTTAAGTAGAGATCATATAATGAATCAAGTTCATAGACAGCATTTTAAGTAGTGATCATATAATGAAACATGGTCATAGACAGCAGTTTAAGTAGAGTTCATATAATGAAACATGGTCATAGACAGCAGTTTAAATAGAGATCATATAATGAAACATGGTCATAGACAGCAGTTTAAGTAGAGATCATATAATGAAACATGGTCATAGACAGCAGTTTAAGAAAAGATCACATAATGATCCTTTCCCAACATGCTCTGTGAGTCAGTTACAATTAGGGCATGTGTCTACAGCTGATTCTCAAGCCAGCAGAAAGCAGAGTGCAGAGACTGCCTCCACCTCCAGTTTCAAACTAGACTTTGTGATTTCATATGCAAGGCTTTGCTGCACTTAGCGATGTGCATTGGACTTTGCTATAAACCCCTATGCACTTCATCGACCTCTCAATACAGAGCAATCTGTGTAGATAATCACATCACCTGGGCGGGAATTGTCATGAATCGTGTGTTGAACTTCTGATTCTGCAGCACCAGCTGGCCAGTCACTGCACTCACGACCCAAAGAGATCAGAACCCTACACAAGTCCAAAACCTGTTCGGACACCTTGACCAACTCCTCTCCTGGCTCAAACTTATTAAGCCTGCACATATTTCAAATTGTGTCTTCAGATTGCACTATTTAAGACCTTCCACTTTTTAGTCTGTGACTCTTAGCTCTACCCAGAGCTTCATGTAGGAGGTGCTTCTTGTCTGCGGCTACTCTGAGATATGATTTTGCCTGCAGAACTTTGAGCCTATTTGCAGTAGTAGGTAGTGCAAGCATATAGCGCATACATACTACCGGGTATCTCTTGTACATCCCAGAATTACCCGCATGTTCACAAACAGCAATGAAAGTAGAGATCATTTCATGAAACATGTTCACAGACAGAGTATAGATCATATAATGAAACATGTTCATAGACAGCAGTGCGAGTATAGATCATTTAACTCTTTTAAGTACCAGGGAACGCATCATGTGCTAATTTTTTATAACCGATTGGCCCAATCGACATCTGACAAGTGAAGCTACAAATATATTTGCAAGGTTGGCTGAGTTACTGTTTTTTTTTTTTTTTTTTCAAATGGCCGCCAGGCAATATTCTACATGCATGCCAGCATGATTTACGGCTTTAGAAGCCTCAGATTTAAAAAAAAAATACATGTTAATTAGATTTATCCGAAGTTAGATAGATAACATTGTGAATTAGATGTGTTTCAGTCATTTATAGAGTCGAACGATCGAAACCCACTGCTGGCTGCGTAGATTTTTATCATAGTATGGGACGTCGCAGGTCGACCTAGACTAAAATGGGTACCAGGATGGCTGTCCTGGGGAAGTAAAGACGGCCGGCGTAATGCTGACCACATTACCCATCCAATGCCGATTGGTCTGTAAAAATATGGGACGCTCTTCCCATATACCTGATGCGCCTAAGGCGTGAAAAGGGATCTTTACTTTACTATGGAGTCAAACTTTAATGAGAGATATGTCTAATGTAACTCATGGGATGGGGGTACAACAATAGCAAAGTCAGCTGGCATAAATAGAATAAACATTAGTGAAAAGACGATTTTCTTCAGTGTCAGTTCTAGTGCTATTCCCCTTATTATTTAGGAACATAGCTACAAAATTATAGGCAAATTGAGTGTTGTATAAACTTCGTTTTGTGTGAAGATACTTAATGTTTTGGGGGTCAGTTTTCTTTACCAAATAATGGGGCTCTGTTGTGATGCTTCAAAAGATTTACTGGAAAACAAAATCTAATGCATAGATAAAGTTTACATTTTACTTATACATTAAGTGGTTTAATTTCATTTGAGATTCATTTTGGATATATTTTAACCAGCTTTCTTTGAATGCCATGGTGGTGACTGGACATTTTTAAATTTCATTTTACTAATTTTTTGTAAACATACCGTCTGTTTATTTACTAATATTTAATTACTAACGCAAATATTTGTTGTAGCTGTATTCTAGAATTATTCCTCAACAATCCCTGGTCACTTTGATGAATAATATGTGTATGGTGCGCGGCAATTGAATTAGTATGGTCTGTTTTAATGTGTTACACTTGTGAAATTAAACAATTGCATTACCACCCCTTGAGCCTCTAATGCTAAACACCCTGGGACTCAAAGAGTTAATGTAAAATATTCATAGTCATGTAATGAAACATTTGCATAGACAACAGTTTAAGTAGAGATCATCTAACGAAACATGTTCATAGACAGCAGTTTAAGTAGAGATCATATAATGAAATATGTTCATAGACAGCAGTTTAAGTAGAGATCTTTTAACTAATGAAATATGTTAATAGACAACAGTTTAAGTAGAGATCTTTTAACTAATGAAATATGTTAATAGACAACAGTTTAAGTAGAGATCATATAATGAAATATGTTAATAGACAACAGTTTAAGTAGAGATCATATAATGAAATATGTTCATAGACAGCAGTTTAAGTAGAGATCTTTTAACTAATGAAATATGTTAATAGACAACAGTTTAAGTAGAGATCATTTAACTAATGAAATATGTTAATAGACAACAGTTTAAGTAGAGATCTTTTAACTAATGAAATATGTTAATAGACAACAGTGTGAGTAAAGATCGTATAATGAAACAATGGTTGTAGGCAGCAGTTTAAGTAGAGATCATATAATGAAATATGTTAATAGACAACAGTTTAAGTAGAGATCTTTTAATGAAATATGTTAATAGACAACAGTGTGAGTAAAGATCATATAATGAAACGATGGTTGTAGGCAGCAGTTTAAGTGGAAATCATATGCTGAAACATGATCATAGACAACAATGTAAGCAGAGATCATATAATGAAACATGTTCATAGACAGCAGTTTAAGTAGAGATATAATGAAATATGTTTATAGACAACAGTGTGAGTAGAGATCATATAATGAAACAATGTTCATAGACAACAGTTTAAGTAGAGATCATATAATGAAACAATGTTCATAGACAACAGTGTCAGACGAGATCATATAATGAAACAATGGTCATAGACAGCAGTTTAAGTAGAGATCATATAATGAAACATTTGCATAAACAGCAATGTAAGTAGATTAAATTTTTGTTTTGTTTCACAATTGTCTGGAATCTAGGTTTTTAGTGAATGCCAGCAAGGATTCTGATTTACGTAAGTGGGCAACGGAAGGCCTGGCTTATCTCACCTTGGATGCTGACGTGAAGGAGGAGTTGGTCAATGATCAGTCTGCGCTGAAGTCCATCTTTGACCTTGCCAGGGTAGGCTGTTTTCGAAAGTCACTTTAATTTTGATATAAATAGCATACACAAACCCTTTGACAAGCATGATTCTATTGGTTAGAGACCAGAAGTGTGTTTAGTAGCATGTTTTTGTGTAGAACATTGGTTTGTAGTACACCGACATAAGCTGGTGCAAAGTACTCAGGCCACCTACGGTTTGTGAAACAAGTTTTGCTTGAAATTCATAGGTACCCTGACCACATGGGTATTGCCAAGGAAGTGTGAGTTTCATGTGAAACCGACCACTTGTGACAAACTCTGTTGCAGTTTGATTTAGTTGATCTCAGTCAGTGAGGTAGCATGGTCATATGGATCCAACTTCTCTCCTGATTCATCATTTCTGATCCTATCTCTTCTAGTTACATTTAGGATTCATCATAGACATTTCATTTCTGTTATTTCCATTATCAAGAGAAGATATAAAACCAAACAAAAAGTATATTAGCTAGCTTCACAATATAACTAATACAACAAAACATGTGAACGCTGCGGCTATGGAGCCTTCAGCAGCACATGCAAATCATATACTAGTACTACGCAGATACACAAAATCACTTAGCTGGTATCTCGATGCAGCCTGGTCGGTTATTTCTCAGCAGAATGACTACACGTGTCGGCTGGGGGAACAAATACCCCCCCCCCCTCGCTGTGGAGTACCAGGGGCAATAACTGGGGGTTGGAAATAAAACTGTGAGGGCAGTTCAATCCCCTGGGAGTTTAAATAAAACTGTGTTGGCAATTCAGTCCATAAGGCGTTAAAGCCCCCAAAGTATAATGTTGTTTCCATTGTTCTTTTCTATTTTCTTGTAAGTGTCCATGTTTTAACACTGGTAACGCAATGTTTTTTGTTGTGTTTCTAATTTTCCACTTCTGGTGTCTGTCTAATGGTAATCTTATTTCCAGTTTCTAATGATAATATTTAATTTCTAGTGTCTGAGGCTAAACTTCTAATTCTAGTGTGTGCCTGATGGTAAACTTTCATTTCTAGAGCTTATTTTATAGGTATCTTCTGTTTCATTTGTCTATATCTATAATCAGTCAGACACTAGTCTGATTGCTATTTTTTGTCACATGATAATCTTCCCTTTCCATGTGTCTGTCAGATGATAATCTTCCATTTCCATGTGTCTGTCAGATGATAATCTTCCATTTCCATGTGTCTGTAAGATGATAATTTTCAATTTCTTTTGTCTGTCATATGATAGTCTTACATTTCTATTTGTCTGCCAGATGATAATTTTACATTTTTGTTTGTTCACATGATAATCTTCCATTTCTACTTGTTAGTCACAAGATAATCCTCCATTTAATTTTGTCTGTCACACTTCTAATTGTTTGTTGAATGATAATCTCCCATTTTGTTTGTCTCTCAGATGATAATCTTCTATTTCTTTTTTCACATGATAATCTTCCATTTCTATTTGTCATAACAATCTTCCATTCCTGTTGTCTGTCATGTGATAATCTTCCCTTTCTGTTTGTCTGTCACAGGATAATCTTCTATTTCTTTTTGTCTATTAGATGATAATCTTCTATTTCTGTTTGCTATCACATGATACTCTTTCATTTATATTTTTCTGTCAAATAATCTTTAATTTCTATTAATCTACTATTTCTGCGTATCTCTCACAAGGTGGTCTTCTGTTTCTACTTATCTACCAGATGAAAGTTGTCTATTGCACAGAGGCTATGAATTTCTAAAAATAAAGTATGTGTGTCCTGTTTGGTAGAATGCTGATCGTAACACCACGTATGCATCTGTGACTGTGCTGGTGAACTGCACTAACAGCTATGATAAGCCAGAGGTCATGCCTGAGCTCATAGAACTGGCCAAATTTGCTAAACAACATGTTCCGGAAGAACACGCTAAGGTATTGTATTTTGCTGTGTTTGTTTAAATGTGTGCTTGTATGCAGCAATATGTTTTATGTTATAATGTATTTTAATGTTGGGGGTTCTGTTGGCATCTCTAGATTGGTAGATAATGTTAGCTGTTCTTTTGGCACTTTTGGATTATATAGGTAGATAATGTTAAGGGTTCTGTTGGCATCTCTAGTTTATATAGGTAGATAATGTTAGGGGTTCTGTTGGCATCTCTAGTTTATATAGGTTAGATAATGTTAGGGGTTCTGTTGGCATCTCTCTCTAGGTTATTTGGTATAATGTTAGGGGTTCTGTTGGCATCTCTAGATAATGTAGATAATGGGGGTTCTGTTGGCATCTCTAGTTTATATAGGTAGATAATGTTAAGGGTTCTGTTGGCATCTCTAGATAATGTAGAGGGGGTTCTGTTGGCATCTCTAGATTATATAGGTAGATAATGTTAGGGGTTCTGTTGGCATCTCTAGTTTATATAGGTAGATAATGTTAGGGGTTCTGTTGGCATCTCTAGATTATATAGGTAGATAATGTTAGGGGTTCTGTTGGCATCTCTAGATTATATAGGTAGATAATGTTAGGGGTTCTGTTGGCATCTCTAGATTATATAGGTAGATAATGTTAGGGGTTCTGTTGGCATCTCTAGATTATATAGGTAGGGGGTTTCTGTTGGCATAATGTAAGATAATGTTTCTGTTGGCATCTCTAGATTATATAGGTAGGTAATGATAAGATGGTAGGTTGGTTCTAGATTATATAGTTGGGGGTTCTGTTGTCTCTAGGTTAATATATAGGGCATCTCTAGATATATGTTAGGGGGTTCTGTTGGCATCTCTAGTTTATATAGGTTGATAATGTTAGGGGTTCTGTTGGCATCTCTAGATTATATAGGTAGATAATGTTAGGGGTTCTGTTGGAATCTCTAGTTTATATTGGTAGATAATGTTAGGCGTTCTCTTGGCATCTCTAAATTATATTGGTAGATAATGTTAGGGGTTCTGTTGGCATCTCTAGATTATGTAGGCAGAATGGGTTAGGGGTTCTGTTGGCATTTCTAGATTATATAGGTAGATAATGTTAGGGGTTCTGTTGGCGTCTCTGGTTTATATAGGTTGATAATGTTAGGGGTTCTGTTGGCATCTCTAGATTATATAGGTAGATAATGTTAGGGGTTCTGTTGGCATCTCTAGATTAAATTGGTAGATAATGTTAGGGGTTCTGTTGGCATCTCTAGATTATGTAGGCAGAATGTGTTAGGGGTTCTGTTGACGTCTCACTGAGACACTGAGGTACTGGAAAGAGCAGTCTATTCCATGCTCAGTCTACGAAGGCTCAGGTGGCTGGGTCACACCTGGAGAATGGAGGATTCCAAAGTCCCTAAAGACATCCTTTATGATGACTTAATGACAGGAAGAAGATGTCGAGGCTGACCTCTACTACGGTATAATGATGTGTGCAAGCGGGACATGAATGACATGAGGTATTGAGGTGGACTCATGGGAACAAAATGCCATGGACCGTGTTGTGTGGAAAGGGCATATCAGGAAGGAAATGAGAATGAAGGAAGAAATAATTGCAGAAAGAATGAGAGCTGAGCGTCTGAAAAGAAACAGATTAAACACAAATGTTGACAGCAAAGGTCCTGAAATCCCATGCTATCATTGTGGAAGACTTTTCTTGACATGGGCGAGTCTTGCTAATCACACTCGCCATCACCATGGGCTGTGAGTCTCATGCCACCTCATAGCGCAGTATAACACTATCGTCTGGAAAGACGGAAATGTGCCAGTCAGTCAGGCAATGGTATATTTGCTGCTTACTGTGGTGGATATAGGCAGTGGCACTTTGCTGCTTACTGCGGTGGCTGTGAGCAGTGGTACTTTGCTACCTTTTCTGGTGGCTGTAAACAATGGTTTATTTGCTGCTTATTGTGGTGGCTGTAAGCAGTAGTACTTTGCTACATTTTCTGTTTGCTGTAAGCAATGGTATATTTGCTTCTCACTTTGGAGGGTGTAAGCAGTGGCACTTTGCTGCTAATTGTGGTGGGTGTAAGCAGTGGTACTTTGCTGCCTTTTCTGGTGTGTTTAAGCAGTGTGATATTTGCTACATTTTCTGGTGGGTGTGAGCAGTGTTACTTTGCTGCTTATTGTGGTGGGTGTAAGCATTGGTACTTTGCCGCTTATTGTGGTGTGTGTAAGCAGTGGTACTTTGCTGCTTATTGTGGTGTGTGTAAGCAGTGGTACTTTGCTGCTAATTGTGGTGTATTCTCATTTTCTTTTTCTTTCTAGGAAATAGAAGTTGGTCTATTTTCTGTAAAATAATAGTAGCCATTTTGTTTTTGGCATATATTTGAACATAGCCACACAAATTTGAAAGAATCAGTCAGTTTCTAATGAGCCTCTTGTTGTACTTACACCAGGACAAGGCTGAGTTTGTCTCTCAGAGAATACACAAACTGGCTGATGCAGGGATGGTCAATGCCCTGGTGGCCCTCTCTGACACAGACAGCAAAAACAGCAGAGAGCTTCTGTCTCGGTCTGTATTACATGTGTCTCCACAGTCTTGTCTCTGTCCTGTTAGGTCTGTATAGCTGTGTCTCCAAAGTATTGTCTATGTTGTATTTTATCTGTACACATGTGTCCACAATAGTTTCTCTATTATGTTTTATTTATTAATGTTTCTGTACAGTCATGTCTGTTATATTACATCTGTATGCATGTGTCTCCATAGTCTTGTCTCTGCTATATTACATCTGTATGCGTCTCCAGTTTTTGTCTCTGCTTTATGACATCTGTATGCATGTCTCCACAATTTTGTCTCTGCCATATTACATCTGCCTACATGTGTCTCCACAGTTTTGTCTCTGTTACATTACATCTGTATGCATGTGTCTCCTCAGTCTTGGCTGTGTTATATTACATCTGTATGCATGTGTCTCCACAGTCTTGTCTTTGTTATATTACACCTGAATGCATGTGTCTCCACAGTCTTGTCTTTGTTATATTACATCTGTATGCATGTGTCTCCACAGTCTTGTCTCTGCTATATTACATCTGTATGCATGCGTCTCCACAGTCTTGTCTCTGCTATATTACATCTTTATGCATGCATCTCCACAGTCTTGTCTCTGCTATATTACATCTGTATGCATATGTCTGCACAGTCTTGTCTCTGTTATATTACATCTGTATACATGTGTCTCCACAGTTTTTGTCTCTGTTATATTACATCTGTAAGCATTTGTCTCCACAGTCTTGGCTGTGTTATATTACATGTGTCTCCACAGTCTTGTCTTTGTTATATTACATTTGTATGCATGTTTCTCCATAATTTTGTCTCTGTTATCTTACATCTGTATGCATGTGTCTCCATAGTCTTCTCTCTGCTATATTACATCTGTATGCATGTGTCTCCACAATTTTGTCTCTGTTATATTACATCTGTATGCATGTGTCTCCATAGTCTTCTCTCTGTAATATTACATCTGTATGGATGTGTCTCCACAGTTTTTGTCTCTGCTATTTGACATCTGTATGCATGTGTCTCCACAATTTTGTCTCTGCTATATTAAATCTGCATACATGTATCTCCACATTTTTGTCTCTGTTATATTACATTTGTATACATGTGTCTCCACAGTTTTGTCTCTGTTATATTACATATGAATGCATGTGTCTCCATACATAGTCTTGTCTCTGTCACATTACATCTGTATGCATTTGTCTCCACAGTCTTGCCTCTGTTACATTACATCTGTATGCATGTGTCTCCACAGTCTTGTCTCTGTTACATTACATCTGTATGCATGGCTCCACAGTCTTGTCTCTGTTATATTACATCTGTATGCATGTGTCTCCACAGTTTTTGTCTTTGCTATATTACATCTGTATGCATGTGTATCTACTGTTTTGTCTCTGTTATATTACATCTGTATACATGTGTCTCCACAGTCTTGTCTTTGTTATATGTCATCTGTATGCAGGTGTCTCTACAGTGTTGTCTTTGTTGTAATATATAACATGTGCACTGTTGACAAGTGTGTAGTATAACATGTATAGTGCAGACATGTTTGTAACATAATATATATATAAAGTAGACATGTGTGTAATATAACATGCCGACTGTAAACATGTGTGTAATCTAACATGTACACTATAGACACTTGAATGGAATATAATATGTACACAATTAGCACATGTATGTACACTGTATACTTGTGTAACATAAATTTTACACAACAGACACACATCTGTAACATAACGTGTACACTGTAGGCGTGTGTAACATAACATGTACACTATAGACTGCCAGATAGGGTTCTGCCAAGTAGTAGTGCCCTATTTCAGAGAGTCAACATCAACGATGAGATCAATGTTAGAATCTCAAAGGCCAGCAGCATTATCGGCAGACTTTATATCAGTGTCTGTAACAAAATGGTACCTCCATGCTGACCAAACTAAAGGTTTACAAAGCTGTAATTCTTCCATTACTGCTCTACCTTTAGGAAATGTGATTTTTGTATTGGCGCCATGCTAAAAAGTTGAATCAGTTTCATGTAACCTGTCTCGGATAGCTGCTCAAAATCCAATGGCAAGATAAGATCCCAGATATTGTGGTTATTGATAGAGCAAACCTGCCTAGCATCCATACCATACTGAAGAATAATCAACTGCGTTGGGCTGGTCACCTAACCCGCATGCCAGAATATCGTGTCCCAGAGAGAGTTTTTTTTTATGGCGAGCTCCAGAAAGGGAAGAGGTCCCAGGGAGAACAGAAAAGTGCTATAAGGACACTCTAAAAACTACTATCAATTATTTTGGCATCAACACAGCGACGTGGGAGGCTGCTGCGCAAGACCGTTCTGGATGGCGTTCGTCCCTCAGGCATGGTGCATAGGCAGAGAAACGGAGACAGACCGGAAAGAATCTTACTGCTAATCCCACACTCACTGCAGCTTTCATCTGTTGTCTTCACTGCTCAAGAACTTTCCTGGCTTATATTGGAATAATCATGTGTAACATATCATGTAGACTAGAAGTTTGTAACGTAACATATAAAATGTAGACATGCATACAGCATAATTTGTACACTGTAGACACATGTGTATAACATAGAATGCATAACTATAGACACACTTGTAAATAAAGTATAGATGTGTGAAAAACACGGTTATACAAGGTCTGACAATTAAGTAATGAGACTAATTCTATAAAAATTTAAATAATCAACAGTTAAAGATATAACCTGAATTTTATTCAAAGTAAGCCCCTTGTATACAGCAAGTGGCACACTCTAACAATGTGTGTAACATATAGTTCACTGTAGTCGATGTGTGTGTAACAGTAACATGAAACACTGTCGTAACTTTAATTTTGAGACAAAATAATCACATATAGACAAATCTAGGGATGTAGGCTGAGAACACACACATTGTTTTACATAGATCATGTGTACTCAACCCACTGATGTTTTTGCAGACAACATGGTACAAACCGGCAAGTAACTTTTTTTTTGCCAAAACACTAGATTCATCTGCCATCATCTTATGTTAAAACAATGATCATCTTGTATGTTCTCGACTCATGCAATGTGTTCAACATAACATGTGCACTGTAGATCATGTGTGGTGCATTATAATAATTTCATGTACCACTGTTGAATCGTGTCAACACCTAAAAATTTGTGTAAGGGATAAACAATTATCCCCATAAACTTGTTGCATCAGTAACAGTTCAACTGTTTCATATTGTTTTAAAAAACATAGATGCTATGTGTGATTACGTAACATGCACCTCTGACTGGGTCAACATGTGTGTGCTGTCTGCTTATAAATGATGTACATAGCTGAATAGACCATGTTTATGATGGTATTTTTGTGCCATAGTAAAATCAGTCTCAACAATTGTCAGGCCTTGTACCATCTCTTTCACCAGTAGACATAGTCCGCACGTAACTCAGCACAGCGATGTTCCTCCATTTATCCCAGAGTGCCAACTCTGGTACCCATTTCGAAGAGGCTGAGTGAACCCTGTGAAACGCCCGGTTGCGAACACCGGCCGTAGGCTGCAACCAGTGGTAGCTGAATTTGAAAGCGAGTCTTCTATCGACTGCGCTAATGCGGCCCCCTCATAACTTGTACTCTGGAGACACATGTGTACACTAGACATATTTTTAACATAACGTGTACTGCTGACATGTGTAACATAACATGTACACTATATACATGAATGCAACATAATATGTACACTGTAGACACACATGCATAACATAACATGTACTCTATAGTCACATATGTGTAACATCACATGTACACAAGGTATGTGTAACATCACATGTACACAAGGTATGTGTACCAAAACATGAACACTGCAGATGTGTGGAACATAATATGTTCACTGTAGACATGCATGCAACATAATAAGGAAACTTTAAATATATATATGTAAAATAACATGTACACTGATGACATGTGTGCAACTTAACATATGTAGAGTATAGACACGTGTGTAACATGTACACTGTAGGCATGTGTGAAACATAACATGTACACTGTAGACACACATATAATATAACATGTAACTGTAGACACATAGATCATGTGTACACTGCAGAGATATGTGTAACATAGCATTACACCATAGATATGTGTATGTAACATAACATGTGCACTGTAGATATGTGTGCAACATAACATGTAAACTGTAGTCATGTGTGCTTAACGTATATTGTAAACTATAGATGTGTGTGCGTAACATGACATGCAAATTGTCGACATGTGTGTGATATAAAATGTACACTGTAGACATGTTTATGTGTGCAACATAACATGTACTCTGTAGACATATGTGTTCAGCATAAGATGTACACTGTAGACATGTATGTGTATCATAACATGTACACTGTAGACATATATGTGCAACATAACATGTACACTATAGACATATATGTGCAACATAACATGTACACTGTAGACATATGTGTTCAGCATAAGATGTACACTGTAGACATGTATGTGTATCATAACATGTACACTGTAGACATATGTGTGCAACATAACATGTACACTATAAACATATATGTGCAACATAACATGTACACTGTAGACATATGTGTGCAATATAACATGTACACTGTAGACATATGTGTGCAACATAACATGTACACTATAAACATATGTGTATCATAACATGTACACTGTAGACATGTATGTGTATCATAACATGTACACTGTAGACATATGTGTGCAACATAACATGTACACTATAAACATATATGTGCAACATAACAGGTACACTATAAACATATGTGTGCAACATAACATGTACACTGTAGACATATGTGTGCAACATAACATGTAAACTGTAGACATGTATGCAGCATAACATGTACACTGAAGACATATGTGTGCAACATAACGTGTACACTATAAACATATGTGTGCAACATAACATGTACACTATAAACATATGTGTGCAACATAACATGTACACTGAAGACATATGTGTGCAACATAACGTGTACACTATAAACATATA